TTTTTTTTTTTTTTTGAGATAGGCTCTTGCCAGTAAGTTGCCCCAGTAAGTTGTGGGACTTAAACTTGCAATCATTCTGCCTCAGCTTCTCTCAGAGCTGAGATTGCCCTATATTCTTCCCTCCTCCTCAGGATTGATCAAACCCAGCATCTTCTGTATGCTAGGCAAACACTCTGTCACTGAACATCATTCTCAGCCTTTTAGAAATGTTTACTTTTGAGAGGCAGATTGGAGGTCGAGGCAGGAGGATTGTCACGAGTTCAAGACCAGCCTTAGCTACATAGTGAGTTCATGTCCACTCTGAATAACAGAGTGAGACCCTGTCTCAAAAATAAATAAATGCATGTTTATTTTTTATGTTTTTCATTTTTTGGTACTGGGGATCAAACTTGGGCCCTTGTACTTGTGAGGCAGGCGGTGGAACCACTGAACTAAATCCCAGGCCCTGTATGTTTGTTTTTGAGATGGTGTTACTAATTTCTCCAGACTGGTCTTGAACTTGTGATCCTCCTGTCTCAGCCTCCTGAATGCTGGGATTATAGGTGTGTTCCACCTTGCTGAGCCAATGAGGTACATTTTAAATTCACTTTCCCTAGTATACTCTCTCTGTGGGTTATATTCTAAAATCAGAAATTAGCTTCATTCTTTAGCATAGGTGTTGATAATGACAGGGATGAGGTGAGTGTGAAGCTATTTCTCTGAGAGAGACCATTTGGTAGATGAAATGAGTAAATATATCCATGTCACAATCTGGAATTGTCACTGTGGCATGAAGGTGCAAAGGAACTGTGACACTGAGTGAAAATTGGGAGTTTTAGTCTGAACTTGTGATCTCAAGGCTCCTCGTGTTTCCAGGCTCTGTGCATTGACAGGGTCCAGGAGCAGTGAGCACATCCTGCACACTGAGCTTGCTTTCCTTTTAATTTTGTTTGTTTGTTGTTGTTTGAGACAGGGTCTCACTATTTAGTGCAGACTGGCTTTGAATGCACTGTGTAGCCCAGGCTGGCCTTAAACTCGGAGATCCTCCTGCCTCAGCCTTCCAAGTGCTGGGATGACAGGCATGCACCACCATGCCTAGCCAGATCTTGGTTTGTAAATACCATTGCCTGCTTGAGCAGGGTCGTCCCTTACACTGCTATCTCCTGGTGTTAGTGTGGTCACTTCACATCCCTGGGGCTTGGGACTGTCCTGAGGGGCAGGGGCTGTGGGCAGACTGGAACCACCTGAGGGTGGACATTTGGGCTGGAACAAAGATCCTGTCACTAGTGCCACCACCTTTTCCCTCATTTTCTGGCCTGTCATCCAATGGCTCCCTCTCATAGTGGCACCATGTGCCCTGTTAGCCTCACTGTCCACCTGAAAGTCCACTCCCGACTGTGCTGTGGCCTCCCACCACCTCCTCCTCCCCTCCATGCTACCCCTCCTCTCGTGCCCCTTTCCTGGGTGAGCTCCTGAGCTGTCTGCAGAGCTCTGAGGGCCTCTCTGGGAACAGCAGCATGGCCACCCTGGGTCAGGCTTGGGGACTGGACCATGCCCAGTTCCTGTACTAGTCCCTTGGTGTCCTAGCATGTGGCACCTGGTCGAGGGGGGACAAGAGAGGAGCCTGTGACTGACACCCACATCAAGCATAAGGTGCCCAGCACACACCCGTGCCCTTTCCTCTTCAGTCCGCAGGTCTAGCCGGGTCTCAGGCTCCAAGCCCTGTGTCCAGCTGTGCAGCCACACCCTTCCATGGCAGCAGCACCACACCGGCCTCTCCTGCATATCTGCCCCTCCCAGGCTCCCACATTTGCCCTCAGCATCACACTGGGGGCCCCTCCATGGCATCCCTGTCCCAACCTTGTGGCATGATGACCAGCTGTGCTGTTTAGACACAGCGGGACCTGCGTCTGTGCACAGGCCCCAGGATGGGCAAGACTCAAAAACCATGTGTAGGGCTGGGGATGTAGCTCAGTGGTGCCACCACCAGTCTCACAAGCACAAGGTCCTGAGTTTGATCCCCGGTACCAAAAAAATAACCATGTCTACACAGAGCATAGTGGCCCATGCCTGGAAACCCAGCACTGGGAGGTGGAGGTGGGAGGATCCTAAATTCAAGCCCAGCCTGTGCAGCCCCAGCTCATGAATGGGCTAGGGATATAGCTCAGTGTGAAGGCCCTGGGTTCAGTCTCCAGTATCGGAAGAAAAAACCTTGTCTAGGGTTTCTCTCTCTTTGAACAGGGCAGTGACTCCCTGTCAAAGGTTGAAGTGTCTTTTTCTTCAGTAGCCCTGTAGCCCAGGCTGGCCTGGAACTCATGATCTTCCTGTCTCAGCCTAAGTCCCAGGATTATAGTGTGCATCGCTGAACCTGGGCAGCTCCTTGTGGGAGCCTGCTGCCCAGGGCCCCTAGCAGCCCTCCCGCCTTCCTCTTGCCTTCCACTCCCCAGCCACCAGAATGATCGTACACACAAGCCAGTGTGACCAGTGAAACGATAGCATTTATTTGCTGGGGTGTGTGAGACAGAAGCTACACTACAGAAACAAGTGCTCCTTGGAGGCGGTGCCTGGGACAAAGTAGGAACTGGAGAAAGTAGAGGGAGGTGGAAGAAACTGGGAATCTTGTCAAATTGTTCATCTGCTGTGGGTCGCCAGAAGTTTGTTAAGCCGATTACTAGCAACCAAAAGCTGTCTCAACAACAGAGTTCTTTGTGGCTCAGTTTCCCACACATGCACACCTTTAGTGTTCTTCTCAGAACACATTCCCTGACTGCAAAGAAACAGCATCACGTGCTACACAACCTCAGTGGGTCCCTGCCGCATATCCCCAGCAGGTCTGTCACCTTCCCAGCCTCCTCCAAGGGACTGGCGTGATGAGAGCACTGGCATCGGTGCCCCCTCCTAGCGCCCAGTGTCCCTTGAAGACAGTGAGAGTCCCTGCTAAGTGGATGCACAAGGTGGGGGAAGTGCCAGGCGCCATGCTGTCTTGCTGAGTCATCTGCCTGCCAAAGAGGTGAGAAGCACCCACTTCTAGGAGGAGAAGCCGAGCAAGGGGTCCAGAGAAGAGCCGGGACACCCCCTGTCCAGCCCATGCTTGGCTATGGCTTCACATTTGGCTTTGCTTTGTCACTGAACACAAGGTCGAAGGTCTCCGCAGACTTCCCACCCTGGGCGGGGAGGGAGGACAGAAAGAGACTCAGGCTGAAGGAGTGGCTCTCACTGCACAGATTCGATGGTTGGCAACCCAAATGGTACAGTAACTTGCTCCAAGTCATGCCACAAGGCTGTGTGACTTTCAACTCCCCGGCCCCTGGATCATTGCTCCTTCATCAAGACGTGCTACACGGACTGCAGTGGCCAAGGGGACACAGGGTGGCTGGCACCTAGCCTTCGAGGAGGTTTGCCAAGGGCTCTGCCAGACGCAGCAGAGGTCAGGAGACTGCACTGGGCAGCAGCGGCCACCCATTTCCCTGTAGGCCTGGGAGGGTCACACAGTGTAGACACGGCGTGCTGAAGCCCACCCTCCCTGCCCACAGCGCACCGCTCTTCCTCATGCCAGGCACTTCAGGTCGCTGCTGGGCCCCTCCGCTGTGCCATCTCACCTCTGCTGCGGGGTGGGAGAGAACCAGGTCGAAGGGCCGTGAGAGGCGCCAGACACCTAGCGAGAGCTGGGCACACACCAGCTGTTATTATCAGGAGCCAAACTGCAACATGAGAACACATTTAATGCAACATGCAGCTGTGGTCTGGCCTCGGGCTCCTCCCCGACATCTGGGAATGCTATTTGGAGAACCCCTTCTCTAGAGCCTCAGTCCCTTCGGGGTGCAGGAAGCGGCTGGCCAAGCGTTCAATGTCATCCAGCGTCAGGCGGCTCAAGGACCTGTCATAATCCTGAGGAGAGAAGGCCAGGAGGATTTGGGGGTGCTGGCAGGGAGGGGCAGGCTGTGACAGGTCAGGGGCTGGCAGTGGCAAGGGAGCCTCCTCACCCTCTGGAGTTGTTCCAGGACCCTGCTGGCATCTGCGGCACTGAAGTGGTGGGCCAGGACTTTAGAGACCAGCTGCCAGACAGGCGTAGGCGGGGGCTCGGCCCCAATCCGGGCACCCCCTTCTTCCAGTAGCACCTTCTCCAGAGGTTTCACCACCAGGTTGAGCTTAGAATTGGGCCCGATGCTGTAATCTGACAGTCGTTTCCCATCTGCCAAAGAAAGATGAGTGGGGTCCCTTACCTACAGCTGTGGGGGTGGCCTGGGAAACCACACACCAGCCTCCCTCCAGCAGCCAGGTGGGGCAGTGGCATCTGGTGGTGGTGGTGACTTGGGCCACCATCCTTAGAGCTCGGATCCATCGCGCTGCTTCCTGGACACCCCGCACAGCCGGTCCCCTGGCTTCCGGTGGGGCTCCCGGGCACCTCCTCTCTGGGTACCTGCTAGGGCCTTGCCCTTGAACAGCAGCCGCTGCTGGCGCACAGGGACATTCAGCTTCTCGGAGACCAGTTGCTTCACTGTGGCCACCGACTCATCCTCGGGCACCTGGCCGGGGG